CATTTTTTCTCCCAAGGAGTGGCTAAACAAGAAAAATGAACTGTGTAAGGAAGTATTAGTTAGTAGTTCACATACCTATGAACAACTATGCACACAGAAATGCTTCTATGCCGATTTTTTCTTTACCTGTAAAAATTTATTAGTTTGGAGAGCTGTTGCTGTCTGCTGCCAAAGCTGACTGTTCTCTATATCATTTTGAAATGCATTTATGAATATTGACTGGAATGGCATGTAGTCCTACAAGCAAAAACACATAATGTAATGCTAGTAATTTTGCAAAATATCCTAAGATTTAGATTTCCAATTATTTAAATGAAAAATGTTTTAAACAGCTTTAATGCCAAATTAAACTCCTATATAACACTTGTTTAAAGTGATTTTAAAATGCTTAGTTTGTTTAAATAATAGTACTTAAATGACTGTTCAGTTTAAACATCTGCATCCTGTCATAACTGAATATACTTTATTATAACAAATTATTCAGATTCGAAGATACAAGATAATTTAATTACCAAATAATTAGGAATTACAGAGTGGAACTTGAAATTCATTTAATTTTGAACATCAAAAAAGTAATGATTTAGTAATACATTTAATGTCCTTTTCTTAACTGAATACTCACCTGAGTTCCAATAACAGTCTTAGTGGTTTCTGCTATTTTTGCCAGACTTTTAGCATACTCCATTTCTGTAAAAAGAAGCACTAGTGATAATAAAAACAGACTTTTCTGTAATCTTAATTAGATACTATTTTATTACAATCTTCCAGGCACAGGAACCAGGCAATCACTCCATTTCAGGAAATAGTTACTAATTCAGAAGTCATATTACTGGCAGTCTGTAGCACAATCATAACAATAGACTGAATTATATATTAGATATACATATAAAAATTGGTATGTATGTATGTGTATACACACACACACACTTTTATACGCTGCCTGACTCCACGACTCCAGGTGACAGAAAAAGCTACTCACCCAAATTAACCTTTTTTCTACCCATGCAACAATGTCCTTTGCATATTTTGATTATGCTACAGGACCATATGGGCTAGTACATGAGCACAGCTCAGAAGGGCATTGGGAACAACACCAGAGGCTCATACCACCAGTTGCTCATAGACAGAGCAGTCCCCCGAGACTCAAGGTAAACCAATCTGAGCATAATCTGGATTGGCTACAGGAAAGCCTACAACTCAATGCCACACACATGGATCTGTCAATGCCTGGTACTATACAAAGTCAACAGGACACTAAGGACCTTTCTCAAGAACTCAA